AGCACAGCACAGCCTGAGGCACGGTACAGCAAGATCGATGCACTCAGCATTGCAATTTGGCACGGTCCGTGGCGCGTCCCGTGGCGAGTCCCCCTGGCACGTCGCGCGGCGCGTCCCTTGGCACGTCCCGTGGCACGTCCATTGGCACGTTCCGTAGCGCGTCCCTTTGGCACGTCCCGCGGCGCGTGCCCATGGCACGTCCCTTGGCACGTCGCTTGGCGCGTCCCTTGGGACAGTCCGCGGCGCGTCCTCCTAGCATATCCCCTTGTCAGTTAGCTCTGGGGCAGCTACTATGTGCTGAGGTAGCTCGAGCTTTAGATCCACATCAGTTCGGTCAGGACTCGGATGCAAATGAGGACTCGATCCACAACGTTAAATCGAGCACACTCGCGGCATGGCACATCGCAATTCAGCACGGCCCAGCACAGCACAGCACAGCCCTGGGCACGGTACATCAAGGTCGATACACTCAGCATTGCAATTTGGCACGGTCCGTGGCGCGTCCCGTGGCGAGTCCCCTTGGCACGTCGCGCGGCGCGTCCCCTGGCACGTCCCGTGGCACGTCCATTGGCACGTTCCGTAGCGCGTCCTTTTGGCACGTCCCGCGGTGCGTGCCCATGGCACGTCCCCTGGCACGTCGCCTGGCGCGTCCCTAGGGACGTTCCGCGGCGCGTCCTCCTGGCATGTCCCCCTGTCAATTAGCTCTGGGGCAGCTACTATGTGCTGAGGCAGCTCGAGCTTAAGATCCAGATTAGTTCGGTCAGGACTCGGATGCAAAGGAGGGCTCGATCCACAACGCTACAGAGCACAGTCGCGGCATGGCGCACAGCACAGCCCTGGGCACGGTACATCAAGATCGATACACTCAGCATTGCATTTGCCCGTGTCCCAATCCGGTGTCTTCGAAACGCCGCCATGCTTTACATTTCTAGATTCCTTTCCGGGTTCGTGGGTCGATCGTGTCGGGGGCGCACCCTGGGCCCGCTAACGGCGGGTAGACGCTCCTAAGTACCCCGCGTGACGGGGTTGGCCCCGCCCCCTGCCTCCCCTAGCCGACGCGCCCGCGTTTGGAGGGGCGGTGGGTAGAACGGGGCCGCGAGTGGACCTCACACCTCTGTTCCCGATTCCTGTCGTCGCCCCCCGCGGGCCCGAGGCCAACGGGAGCTGGCAGGTTCTGGGCGGGGGCCGCGCGCGAAGTCCGCGTGCAACAGTGCATTGCCTTGGAAAAGGAGTCCCACTCCTCGCCTCTACCTACGGACCCCGTATAGGAACGGCCCCTCGGCCGTCTCCTTACACGCGCACTTGGGGGCCTCTTGGATGCCTCACGGGCGCCCGTCGGGGTTTCCTGGCCGCCTTTCGGGGCCCTCTTAAAGCACTCTTTGGAGCCTTGGGAGCGTTCTTGGAGCCCTCTTGGGCCATCTCGAGGCCTCGGATGGCCATCGGAAGCGGAAATGCTCAAAGAAGGGGGCTCCCATGATTAGCCTCGCCCCTCGGGAGCCCCCCAAGTCGCCTTTTAGAACAATCTTGGGACGCTCTTGGAGCGCTCTTGGGCGCTCTTGGGGCCGCCCCGGGACTCCCTTGATCCCCGCTTAGGGAACTTTCGGGCCATCTTGGAGCTATCTTAAGGCCCCGAATGGCCATCGGAAGCTAGGGGGCGAGAAAGCAAAATTATCTTGGCTAGGGACCCAACCATATGCAAACGTGAGTACCGCAGGGCAGGTGAGACGAAGCAAGAGGAATTCTCTATGGGGCCACCATCCTCGTGAGAGGTGTACCGAAATGGCCCGAGGCCGCCATGCGAACGTTGCCACTGGCGCTTTCGGTGGAGCTCCCTTATGGGGCCACGATCCTCTTCAATAGTTTGCCGAAATGGACCGAGGCCGCCATGCGAACGCTGCCACTGGGGCCTTCGGTGGAGCTCCCTATGGGGCCACGATCCTCGTGAGGGGTGTGCCAAAGTGGGGCGCGGGGCCGCCATGCGAACGCTGCCACTGGAGCTTTCGGTGGAGTTCCCTATGGGGCCACGGTCCTCGTGAGGGGTGCGCCAAAATGGGGCGGGGCCGCCATGCGAACGCTGCCACTGGCGCCTTCGGTGGAGTTCCCTATGGGGCCACGATCCTCGTGAGTGGTGTGCCGAAATGGCACGGGGCCGCCATGCGAACGCTGCCACTGGGGCCTTCGGTGGAGCTTCCTATGGGGCCGCGAACCCTGTGAGGGGTGTGCCGCAATGGGGCAGGGCCGCCATGCGAACGCTGCCATTGGGGCCTTCGCTGGAGCTCCTGTGGGGCCACGATCCTCGTGACGGGTGTGCCGAAATGGCCCGAGGCCGCCATGCGAACCCTGCCACTGGGGCCTTCGGTGGAGCTCCCTATGGGGCCACGGTCCTCGTGAGGGGTGTGCCGAAATATGGCGGGGCCACCATGCCAACGCTGCCACTGGGGCCTTCGGTGGAGCTCCATATGGGTCCACGATCCTCGTGAGGGGTGCGCCAAAATTGGGCGGAGCCACCATGGGAACGCTGCCACTGGAGCCTTCGGTGGAGCCCCCTATGGGGCCACGATCCTCGTGAGGGGTGCGCCAGAATGGGGCGGGGCCACCATGCGAACGCTGCCACTGGGGCCTTCGCTGGAGCCCCCTATGGGGCCATGATCCTAGTGAGCGGTGCGCCGAAATGGAGCGGGGCCACCATGCGAACGCTGCCATTCGGGCCTTCGGTGGAGTTCCCTATGGGGCCACGATCCTCGTGAGGGGTGCGCCAAAGTGGAGCGCGGGGCCGCCATGCGAACGCTGCCTCTGGTGCCTTCGGTGGAGTTCCCTATGGGGCCACGGTCCTCGTGAGGGGTGCGCCAAATAGGGCGGGGCCACCATGCGAACGCTGCCACTGGGGCCTTCGGTGGAGCCCCATATGGGGCCACGATCGTCGTGAGGGGTGCGCCAAAATGGGGCGGAGCCACCATGGGAACGCTGCCACTGGAGCCTTCGGTGGAGCCCCCTATGGGGCCACGATCCTCGTGACGGGTGTGCCGAAATGGCCCGAGGCCGCCATGCGAACCCTGCCACTGGGGCCTTCGGTGGAGCTCCCTATGGGGCCACGATCCTCGTGAGGGGTGTGCCGAAATGGCCCGGGGCCACCATGCGAACGCTGCCACTGGGGCCTTCGGTGGAGCTCCCTATGGGGCCACGGTCCTCGTGAGGGGTGTGCCGACATGGGGCGGGGCCACCATGCCAACGCTGCCACTGGGGCCTTCGGTGGAGCTCCCTATGGGGCCACGAAACGCTGTATTCGGTTGGTGAAACGCAGGGGGGAGGGGGGAGGAGGAGAGCAGAGGAGGAGGAGGAACGCGGGGCGACGTCTCTTCAAAACGAGGACCCAACACCGCAGGATGGTTGGGAAAAACATTGACGTTCCTTGGTGGTTGAAGGGGTTTGGCCTTTTGGGTGCATCCTTGGGGAGCTCTTCTGGCATCTTAGAGCCGTTTTGGAACAGTCTTGGGGCGTCTTGGAGCATCTTGGGAACCATCTCGGCGCACCTTGCGCTATCTTGAGCCATGTTGGAGCTCATTGTGGGTTTTCTGACGCCCTTTTGGGGCCATCCCGGGCCATCTTGGACGCCCTGACCGCCCGCGGGCCGCCCCGTCCAGGTCCAGGGGGGGTAAGGGGGAGGGGGAAACCCTTCCCCGAATTGGAAGAAGGGAGGCGGAAGAGAAAACGCTTTAGACCAGCACCGCCCAGAGGGCTGGTGGGATTACATCGCACCCTCTCGGGACCCGTGGAGCCCAGATCTGTTGCCTGTAACCTCGGCAACAAAGTGCCGCGGAACAGATCCAACTGGCGTTGCGCCAGGTTCGCAAAGTGTTGTCTACAGTAATGTTGCAAGGGGGATTCGCGCGCGCGAGACCTCGAGGTCTCGCCTCCCCACACACACACACACACACACACACACACTGCATGTGTACCGAGCGATCGAGACAGAATTGTCGATTACGTTGTGTATTCGGTGTGGGCTTATATTTCACGCCATGTTCGTGCCTTTGGTTCCCCATATCGTAGGATGTACATTCAGCATCGCGGACAACTGCCCTCATGAAGTTCACCGTGGCCGAAGGGTAATCATGTTGCAAAGCCGTGGCCCGTAAACCGCCCCCAGGGCAGGGGCGAGTGGTGGTCCAGACTGCAGCACATAGAACTATGAATCATGTGTCCCCCAGCTCGGCCGAGCCCAGCTCGAGGGAGCAATGAGAGACCCACTGAAAAGAATGTTGGGTGCGTTTCGACTTCTTGGATGTTTGCCAATTTGCAGGAGGAGGAGGAGGTCAAGGGCGAGAAGGAGCAGGAAGCGGACCAAGATGAGGATGAGAAAAATGCGAAGGAGGAGGAGAAGGAGGAATGATGATGATGATGATGATGATGATGATGATGATGATGATGATGATGATGATGATGATGATGATGACGATGATGATGATGATGATGATGATGATGATGATGATGATGATGATGATGATGATGATGATGATGATGATGATGATGATGATGATGATGATGATGATGATGATGATGATGATAATGAGGAGGAGGAGGAGGAGGAGGAGGCTGAGGCTGAGGCTAAAACTGAGGCTAAAACTGAGGCTGAGGCTGAGGCTGAGGCTGAGGCTGAGGCTGATGCGGAGGAGGAGGAGGAGGAGGAATGAGGTGGGTGGAGGAGGAGGAGGAGGAGGAGGAGGAGGAGGAGAAGGAGGAGGAGGGAGAGGAGGAGGAGGAGTAGGAGGAGTAGGAGAAGGAGGAGGAGGAAGAGGAAGAGGAAGAGGAAGAAGAAGAGCAAGAGGAAGAAGAGGAATAATAGTAAGAAGAAGAAGAAGAAGAAGAAGAGGAATAATAAGAGAAAGAGGAATAAAAAGAATAACAATAAGAGGAATAATAAGAAGAGGAAGAAGACGAGGGAGAAGAAGAGGAGGAGGAGGAGGAGGAGGAGGTGATAGAGGGGAAGGAGGGGCCCCGAGGACGCTGGCGGCACGTGGGACACAGCCGCCAGCCGCAGCGCACGGCGGAGGACGCGCAAGGCGTGCGATCCTGGCGCCGCGAGCCCGGCTACACCGTCGGCCCCAGCGGCGCCCGCATCGCTGGGCCTGCCGGAGCGCGGCGCGGCCGCCGCCAGTGTCGCGCTGGGCGGCGGCGCCGGAGCGGCGGCAGCGGGCCTGCCAGGCCGAGGCCCCGCCGGCGTGGCGGCCGCCGAGGCCGCCGACGCCCCGGGCGTCGGCGCAGCGGCGGCCGATGCTGCCGGGCGGCGGCTGGCGGCCGCCGGTGCCTGTGCGGCAGGGCCGACCGCCGCCGCCGTGGCGCCCGCGGCCTCGAGCGTGGCGGTGGCCAGGGAGGCCGCCGGGAAAGCATCAAGCAGTGGCGAATGTCACCGAGCGAAGTGCCTACTGACAACGTCCGAAATCCCCCGCGGCGGATCCGGGCCGTTTGCCAGTGATTATTTTACGAGTTGTGTGGTTTGCACGACATGTTCTTGGAGCGTGTCTGGCTGACACCGTACTGTTTTAGTACATCGGCTTTACGTTCTTAGCACATTGTTCCCAACCATCCTGTGGGGTCCTCGTTTTGAAGAGACAGCGCCCCGCGTTCCTTCCTCCTCCCGCTTCTCCTTCCCCCTCCTCCCTCCTCCCCCTCATTGCCTCTGCTCTCGGCACACCCCTCACACGTTCCGTAGCCTCATAGGGGGCTCCACCGAAGGTCCCGGTGGGGGTGCCCGCATGCGTCCCCCACGCCCAGCACAGCGTTTCGTGGCTCCGCAGGGAGTTCCACCGAAGGCCCCAGTGGGGGTGCCCGCATGCGCCCCCCACGCCCAGGACAGCGTTTCGTGGCTCCGCAGGGAGTTCCACCGAAGGCCCCAGTGGGGGTGCCCGCATGCGCCCCCCACGCCCAGGACAACGCTGCGTGGCCCCGTAGGGAGCTCCACCGAAGGCCCCAGTGGGGGTGCCCGCATGCGTCCCCCACGCCCAGGACAGCGCTGCGTGGCCCCATAGGAGGGGGCTCCACCGAAGGCCCCAGTGGGGGTGCCCGCATGCGTCCCCCACGCCCAGGACAGCGCAGCGTGGCCCCATAGGGAGCTCCACCGAAGGCCCCAGTGGGGGTGCCCGCGTGCGTCCCCCACGCCCAGGACAGCGTTTCGTGGCCCCATAGGAAGGCCCGGTGGGAGGGGGGGGCGCATGCGTCTCCCCCACCCAGGACAGCGTTTCGTAGCCCCATAGGGAGCCCCCACGAAGTTCCAGTGGCACAGTTCGCATGCGTCTCCCCCGCGCAGGACAGCGTTTCTTGGCCCATAGAGAGTACCACCGAATGCGATACTCACAACGACGGTATTCACAACTGCATGTGGTTGGGTCCTTCGCCAGGCTAATTTGTGTTCTTCGAAGATTCGAATGTTATCAGCACACTTTGTGGTCGGCCTGTAGGAATGCCAGGACGGTCGGTCCCTGCTCAAATACAAGGGGCAACGCTGGGGGTGACGTGGCACGCATCGACCCCCAATCGCGCATTGATCACCGGCAGGGGCCCGAGAGCCCCACACCGCCTAGGAACGCGCGGTTTCGCTATCGTGGGCCTGATCTATCGGCGATGTCTCGTCGATTCCTGGTCGATGTTTCCCCACTGTGCCAGTTTCCCCCTATCGTTGCCCCTCAGGTGGCTGGGGAGGCCACAGGGGATATCCTGGAGGACTTGGGGCTGATGCAGCCGGACGAGTTGGTCCATTGGTTTCGCGCGAACGGAGCGGAGGATTGGCTCAGGGTCCGGGTCAAAGGCGCAGGGAGTTTGGCCGACATGTCCAAAGAGGTGCTCCTGGGCCACGCGACGCAGCTGCTAGGCCTCGCTGGCGACACGGAGCGGCGCAGCACCGCCGCCGAGCCTCTGGCGGATCCGCCGGAGCACGCGATCTGCTTCGGGGACTTCGATGGCCGTGCGGATGACACTGACACCCCCGCCTACGGTGGTGGCGTAGCCGAGGCCGCTGCAACCCAGCAGGAGGCCTACAGCTGCGCCCCGCAGCGGGAATGCGCGCGACGCGAGTGGGACCCCGCTGGACTTGGCCCAGAGCCGCCAGAAGGCGCAGTGGCGCAGGCGCCACCTGCGTGGGCAGGCGGCGGCGGCGCCGTGGCAGCGGCCGGGCAGCAGATGGGCTTCGTCTCGATGATGCCCGCCGTGCAGCTGCCCGGCGCGCAGAGCGGCATGTTCGCGTCGGGGCAGCGGCACTACGTGCCGATGGTGTGGATGCCCGCCCAGTACGCCGTCCCGCCGGGCGGCGCGGCAGCGGCGATGGGCGGCGGGGCGGCGCTGCAGGGGCTCCAGATGGTGCACGCTGCCAGCGCCGCGGCCGCGGCGGCGGGCGGCGGGGTGGCGCTGCAGGTCGGCATCTTCTAACCGATCCCCAGGGTATCTCAGCCCCACCAGCCCCCCCGCCCCCAATGTGGGGTTACCCAGGTCCCGCGAAACCCTGTCCACCTGGACGGGTAAGTCGGCCCGTGGTGCCAAGGCCACGCTTTAAGGAAGCGCAAGCATGGATGAAGGCGCGTGGATTCGCGACGGGCCACGCCTCCGGGCAGAATCTGCGCGCGACTGCCAGAGGGGACGGTAGGCGGCGCGCGGAGGGGGGGACGGTTGGCGGCGCGCGGAAGGGGGGAGTGGGCGGGGGGGCAGACCCTCTCAGACGGCGGCGGGGCTTCTCGGAAGCCCTCTAGCCCTCAGAAGCCTTGTGCGGCCTCCGAGAATGCCCAGAGTGCTTCTCAGAAGGCTGGATGCCTCCTGGGCCTTCCGAGAAGGCCTGCCCGCCTTTGCACTCCTCAGGATGCAATTCTTGGGAGGTGAAGTTCCGCATCGGCGCTGGTATATCCGCTGTCGCAAAATGGCCTTCTAGCAGAATCCTGCTTCATTACGGCCCATTATTCCGCCTAATCCTGTTTAACTCATCGGGGTTAATCCCGGGCTAAATTTGGGTAAATCCGGTCTCATGGCCGCACAATCGTGTAGTCCCGCGTCATTCCCACGAAGATTTCCCAGGAGTTCCTTCACACCCTTGGGCGCGCCGCCAATCTGTCGGGTGTTGCTAAAAGTGTCCCTGGGCCAAGGTGTTCCCAGGATTTACAAGGAAGCCCCCACGGTCCCCAGAGCACCCCTCACGAGGCCCAGAGGGCCCCAGGGGCTCCAACATTGAGCGACAAGCTGTGGGCACCTTGGGCCAGAGGCAACTTTACGGTAGGTAATTTCATGCGGCGTTGGCGCACCAGCGATGCCAGCGAAGTCGTTCAAGGTTGAATTCTGCGACGCGGAAGCACCGAGGGACGCGGTGACGCCATTGGACCCGACGGAAGCCAATTTCGAACTATCGAGGCCGCGATAGATTAAAGGTTGGACGATCGACGCGGCGTCAAGAACCTTTGGACGCGCCGACGCCGCGAGATCCTGCCGTAGGAACCCCCGAAGATCGGGATCGATTGAGCGGTGCCCGGCAGGGGCTCCAAATGGTGCACGCAGCCGGGCTGCCGCCGGGCGCGGCCGTCTTCGCCGCCGCCGGCGTGGCGCACGGAACCGCCGCCGGGGCGCCAGTCGCAGGCGCGCCCGTGGTCGACGCTGGCGGCGCGGGCACCCCATGAGCGATGCGGTCGGCCAGCCTTCCCCCTTTCCTGCTCTTCTTTCGGGAGGGAGGAGGAGGAGGAGGAGGATAATTCCTTCTCCTTCCCTCTCCACCCTCCACGTCCTCCTCTTCGTCGTCCTCCTCCCACATGGTCGACCTCCTCCCACGAGAGGCTTGCTCCCCTCCCCGGTGAAAGGGCTCGCTTCCAGGTGAAAGGGCTCGCTCCCCAGTGGAAATTTTAGAAATTGCGAAGGGGTCGTTCCCCGGCAGGAGGTTTTCGAGGGAGAGTTGCACGGATCAGCACTCCCACGACATTCCAAGAGCCATGAAAATTCCATGGGCAGGGAGGACATTTCCTCCCGTGTATACGTGCGAGAAAATACTGCCGGGGAACGAGCACTTCAAAAAATATGATAGAATCTATTCGGATTCCGTTGTACTCGGAATTCTCTTCCCGTTCAAATGTTGTTTGGTTCCTAACTGGTCATCCATAGCATTCCTTCCAATTGGCGTTCTCGACGTGTCAGATTGGAATCCCATTGTGATCCGATGGGAATCCAATAATAAAGTCCATCGGGCATCCGATTAAAATCCGAATCGAATTCGATAGAGTTTTTCTCCCATTGGCACCGTTTTGGGTTCCCGTTGGAATCCTGTTGGGATCCTACTGCACCTTTCGGAGTCGCCTCCCTGTTGAAATGAGAAGTGTGTCCCCTTGACTATAATATGGCCCTCCCTGGCTTTGCCTTGAGGATACAAACTCTTGTGACATGCGCCGAAGCGCCCACAGTTGGTCCGACCCTGTGAGAATCTTTTTCGGACTTCAATTGGCGCGCAGGAATTGTTTCCAAGTCTCTTGTGTCCTCTTCTGGTTTTCCTATTGAGCATCGTTCCTAATGTGATAACGTCTTCTCTTTTTTGTATGCCCACGATGTTCCTACTGTATTACTATTGCATTCCTAATGAACTCCAAGTGTATCGGGATCCTATTGTTTCGCATGCAAGCCCGACACGAAACCAAACCCACTCATTCGAAGCAGACGCGTAAGCGGCGGCTCCAGTATTAACAGGTATTGTCGTAGTTGCAGCGGTAGCATGTGTAATTTAGGGGCAGTTGTGGTCGTAGTTGCTTTTGGGGTAGTAATGAGAATCGTAGTAGTAGTAGTAGTAGTAGTAGTAGTAGTAGTAGTAGTAGTAGTAGTAGTAGTAGTAGTAGTAGTAGTAGTAGTAGTAGTAGTAGTAGTAGTAGTAGTAGTAGTAGTAGTAGTAGTAGTAGTAGTAGTAGTAGTAGTAGTAGTAGTAGTAGTAGTAGTGTAGTAGTAGTAGTAGTGGTAGTAGTAGTAGTAGTAGTAGTAGTAGTAGTAGTCGTAGTAGTAGTAGTAGTAGTAGTAGTAGTAGTAGTAGTAGTAGTAGTAGTAGTAGTAGTAGTAGTAGTAGTAGTAGTAGTAGTAGTAGTAGTAGTAGTAGTAGTAGTAGTAGTCGTCGTAGTAGTCGTCGTAGTAGTCGTAGTAGTAGTAGTATCAGTATTGGGTACTAGTAGTCGTAAAAGGAGTAGCAGTAGTAGTAGTAGTAGTAAAAATAGTAGGTCATAGTAGCTGTAGTAGTAGTAGTAGTCGCCGTCGTCGTCAAAGTAGTAGTAGTAGTAGTAGTAGTAGTAGTAGTAGTAGTAGTGGTAGTGGTAGTGGTAGTGGTAGTGGTAGTGGTAGTGGTAGTGGTGGTGGTGGTGGTAGTAGTAGTAGTCGCAGTAGCAGTAGCAGTAGCAGTAGTAGTAGCAGCAGTAGTAGTAGTAGTAGCAGCAGTAGTCGTAGTAGTGGTAGTAGTAGTACTACAGGCTCGGTAACATTTCTCTTGACGCCACAACAGGCCCCAACAACAACAACCGAAAGACGAATGAGACCTTCTGCGCCCAACCCTGTCCGCATCAGCGGGTGCGCGATCCAAAGGCCACCCCCATAAAATTCTAAAAGGCTTCCGCCCGCGGGGGGGGGCCAGGGGGTGATCCACTCCTTTGATTAGAATTGATTTACGGAGAGTGGATGGAGCCTGGTTTGGGCGATTCTGCGTTTTCAAAATCTGCCTGGTTTGGGGACTCGCTTGGCCTGGTTTGGCCTGGTTGGGCGGCGCGCCCCGCCTGAGACATGCTCAAAATTTGCCGGGTTTGGCCCCTGGTTTGGCCTGGTTTGGGCCCGTTTCGCTTGAGACGTCCTCACAATTTGCCTGGTTTGGCCTATCATCCCCAGATGATGCCAACTATTTGGTAGTCGAGCAATTCCTGGGACAACGACGGCCGCAGCTGGAGCAGGATTAGGGCTTCTTCCGTCTGCCGCTGGGAGTCGTTGCGGATTCGTCGGCCCCGCCGGTAATCGCACCACCGATTCCGATAAGAATTGACGTAGATGTGGTGTTCTATGAATATATATATATATATATATATATATAAATAAATATATGTATATATATATACATATATATATACATATATATATATATTGTAATTGCTGCATACGCCTTGTCCAACTGTGCGCAATCCGCTGACCAGCCAATAGATCTCCCCAAGATGTGTTCTTGGGCGTTTTCGTGAAAATATTCTTGCTGTGCTGGTTCATCGAAGCCTTCATTGCGCAGCCACGGTCCTACGTCTGCAGGGGTGGCAATGCCGAACGACCGAAGAGCCCCCGTAGGCCACGAAAACCAGCCCGGAGTTCTGCCGCAGATGGCGGCTCGACATTCTCCAATGGCGCATTCGATAACCAATGAAGTAAAACTGGGTCATCTTCGTTTCTGCTCGCAGCCCACACTATAGGAACGTTGTGCGCCGACCATCTGTTCTCTTGAACTGCATCCATGATCTCATCAACTGACGCTTGCCTGGGAATACGCCCAACCAACCGAAGGATAGACAACGCAGCCCACCCAATTTCCCCAGAGGGGTTGTAGAGAATGGAATGCTTCTGGTACTGGAGGTGCAGGCGCATGTGCAGGTGGGGTGAGGTCGTGTTGGTGCCCCGGGTGATAGGAGGTTGGTGTCGACGGTCGGGGGCCAATGCCTAAGACATCCAGGGCTCTGTTGATTTGGGATCCCGTTGGGCCCGGAGGAGCCCCGTATGATGTTGGCTGGACGGGCCCCGCGCGGGGCGGATCGCGGATATGGGAGGTTGTCGGATCGCCAGGTCGGGGGAGTCCAGGTGGAGGGATAAGCGGCGGGGGGTCAGCGCATCCGCCGCCGTCGTCGAAGAGATCTTCGGAAAGGCGTGGGGACGGGAGTGGGGAGGGCGGGCGGGGGCTGGGCGGAAATCTCGGGGAAAGGTGGGGTGGCGTATTCGCTCCGATCGTCGATCTCATGACCAGGTGTTAGTGAGGGCCTCTCGGGACCAAGAGTTGGTGGTGGTCCTAGAAGCTCCCCCCCATTGATGTCGTAGCGTAGTGCTGAAGTGCTGATGTCGTAGCGGAATTGTCCAAATGAATCTCGAGTTCCATAGTTATCGGTGCACCGGTCGTCGATGCACTTACCCATCGGGAGATCAGTCGGAATCGGAGCCAAGACGCATGTAGATAGGTGCAATGGTCGGAACCGGGATCGGAGCGGGAGTCAGAAAATAGGACGATACCACGATCGGCACGGGCAATTTTGGTCATAACCGCTATCTGAGCTATGGCGGGTCCGATTGGGACCCCCGTCATTCGTCGAAGGGGGGTCCGGCGTTGTGCGATGCGATAAACCAAGTTGGACGTCGGTCGGGATCCACGCTATATGGGGAGAGTGATCGTCCATGCCACCATAAAATTGTGCATTTTGGAGTGCCGGAGTTGGGAAGCATAGCTGCACTGCGCCACCATATTTCGTTGTATTTGGGCCCCAGGCCCGGAACTGGAATCCAGAACCCTTGCAAGTCCGACACCGCAGCGAGGTCGGAGAAAACGTGATTTCAGCATCAGGGGTTGGTCTTCGACGACGGTCGGGCTTTGGGGTCGGAAATCGATCGGGTATTGGATAGGGAGTGGGAGTCGGAACAATGATTATGATATCTATGCCATTTTATATTTATGGGTTACTTTGCTATCTTGCGGTTGTTCTTCCGTGTAAGCCTTTGGGGTTCCACCCGAGGTTGTAATATTTTGGGAATTGCCGGGGTCGGGGCAGGAGTCGGGAAAACCAGACCAAGACTGAGGAAATCGACAATCGGATTGGGAAAGAAAGCGACATAAATATCGTAGCACCCCAAAATTGCGGATAAGAGTGAGGGGGCGGGCGCGGGCGACGCGGGCGTCGTCAAGCCAATAGACCTCGTGGCCCCCACCTTCCTTGTCCATGGTGTTCTCCTCCTCCTCCTCCTCCTCTTCGTCCTCCGCCTCATCCTCCTCCTCCTTTTCTTCCGCCTCTTCCTCCTCGTCCTCGTCCTCATTGTCATTGTCGTCTTCCTCCTCCACCTCGTCTTCATATTCCTCCTCCTTCTCTTTGTCTTCGTCTTCACCCCCTCGTCCTCCCATTATCGTCATGTTCCTCGTCGTCCTCCTATCCTCCTCTTCCCTCCCGATCCTCCCCCCTCCTCTTTTTCGTCGTCGTTGTCGACGTTGTCATCGTCGTCGTCGTCGTCGTCCTCTTCCTCCTCCTCTTCCTCCTCCTCATCCTTGTCCTCCTCGAAAACAGCTCCCAGCAGGCGCCGAAAATTTTGTTTGTACACTGAACGTGATTTGGGACGCAGGTGGGCCGCGGGTTCTCCACCGGGAGAGAATGCAAAAAATGTCCGCTGCAGGCGCTAAAAGATTTGGTGTGTAGCCTGAACGTGGTCGCGTGTGGACCGCCGTTAGAACGAATGTAAAATGCCCGCCGCAGGCCCCAACAAATATGGTTTGTATCCTGAATGTGCTTTGGGTTGCAGGTTGGTCGCGAAAAGTAGGTAGCGGGCTCTACCCCTGGAAACAATGCAAAAAAAATCCGACACAGGCGCTAAAAATGTTGGTTTCTGCCTTGAGCGTGGTTTGGGTCGAACATGGGGCGCGAGTGGGTCCCAGGGTAGGTCGCGGGTGGGTCCCGGGG